GGCAGCCAACCCAGGCGACACGGAGGCGACGGCAGCCGACCCAGGTGACATGGAGGCGAAGGCAGCCGACCCAGGCGATGAGGAGGCGACGGCAGCCGACCCAGGTGATGAGGAGGCGACGGCAGCCGACCCAGGCGATGAGGAGGCGACGGCAGCCGACCCAGGCGATGAGGAGGTGATGGGCGACGTGGAGGCAACGGCAACCAGCCCAGATGACATGGAGGGGCTGGCAGCCGACCCTCGAACCTCAAGGATCGTCGACTTAGGAGCCACCATCGGAACCGCCGACTCTAGGACCACCAACTGTGGAGCCACCTCTGGAACCACAGACTCCAGGACCACCGATTGTGGGGCCACCGAGACCACCGGCTGTAGATCCACCACCGGAACCACCAACTCCAGGACCACAGACAGTGGAGCTGCCGAGACCACCGACTGCAGATCCACCGAGACCACCAACTCGGGAACTGGGACCATTGACTCAGGGAACGTGGGAACGGACTCAGGAGTGGTCACTTCAGTGGACGCAGCAGTGAACCCAGCAGCAGGAACAGCCAGGTCAGTCACAGGAGCCCCAGAAATAAGACAGGGGTGGGAGAGTGGGTGAAGAAATCCATCGAGAGCCACTTCTCTTGAAGTAGAAAGCTTTGAGAGACGGGCAGCCRTCTCAGCCAAACTTTCCCAAATCCCCGTCATGTCCCAAACAAAATTCTTGCCTGCAGGCTGGATACTTGGTCGGTTCATTCTGACAGGTTTTAACAGGAACGGATCCAGGGTGCAGGCAGGCTCCAAGAATATRACAAAATATTTATTAAATAACAGAAAAACTGCTGTAGAGACAGCTYAAACTTGCAGGGACTCTCAAGGATCACACAGGCAGGGGGAACAGAACACAATGAACCGACACAARATTAAGACAAGACAGGACTTAAATACACTGACAACTAATGGATGAACTGAAAACACCTGGTGAGAAACACGAGGGTGACAATCAGACTAATGGGGAGCAGCTGGGCTGAGACACACTGGGGAAACATAGAAACACTAGGAAAACCAAGGTGAAAACTGACAAACCATGACAATAACAGTGCTTAATATTGTGATGACGAAATGACTTGCGATAAATGAACAATAAGTATGTAGTGTAATTTTTTTCTGCTCTGGGTTCTGAGCAAAAAAACAAACAAAGAAACAAAACTAATCATTTCATTCTGGCATGAATTTTTAAAAATATGAAGAGTAATATATGA